TAAACTTGCATGCAAAAGAAGAAGAGATTGTGCAGCGAGAAAACATTTTCTACACAAGGGGGGTTGTCAAAGATAAAGTGTGTAGTATCATCATTGATGGCGGGAGCTGTACAAACGTAGCAAGTACGTTGTTGGTAGAGAAGTTGGGGTTGAAAACAACAAGACACCCGAAACCGTACCGTTTACAATGGCTCAATGACAGCGGAGAAACGAAGGTGCATAGACAAGTGAGTGTGCCATTTTGTATTGGCAAATACAAAGACGAGGCGCTTTGTGATGTAGTCCCTATGCAAGCGGGGCATTTGTGGTTTGGTAGACCATGGCAATTTGATACTAAAGCTCAACACGATGGCTACAGCAATAAGTATTCATTTGAGTTCAAAGGTAAACCCATTCGACTTGTACCTTTGACACCGAAGGAGGTTTTTGAAGATCAACTCAAAATGATGAAGAATGAGAAGAAACTAATCAACATGTGTGACCATGAGGTAGATCACTCAAAATCTAGTGAGGCCTTGAGAAAAACCCAGGAAAAGACTTGTGAGAGTACACCCGAGAGGAAAAATACCAATTTCTTTATGAGAGCGAGTGAGATCAAGAAAGCATTGCTTTCTCGACAGCCAATGATTGTACTTATGTACAAAGAGGCTCTTTTGAATACTAACGAACTCACATCGTCTTTGCCTAGTGTGGTTTTTGATCTCTTGCAGGTGTATGATGATGTTTTTTCTGAAGAGCTTCCACATGGATTACCACCTATTCGAGGGATTGAACATCAAATCGACCTTGTTCCTGGAGCTAGCCTTCCAAACAAGGCTGCATACCGAACAAATCCTGAGGAAACCAAAGAGCTCCAAAGACAAGTCACAGAACTGATGGAGAAAGGTTATGTTCGTGAAAGTATGTCACCTTGTGCTGTTCCAGTCATCCTAGTTCCAAAGAAAGATGGTACGTGGCGTATGTGTGTTGATTGTCGTGCAATCAACAATATTACGGTAAAGTATCGCCATCCCATACCTCGATTGGATGATATGTTGGATGAATTGCATGGATCACGTGTCTTTTCTAAGATAGATCTTAAAAGTGGTTATCATCAAATACGAATGAAAGATGGTGATGAATGGAAAACAGCATTCAAAACGAAATATGGCTTGTATGAATGGTTAGTTATGCCATTTGGCTTGACTAATGCACCCAGCACGTTCATGAGATTGATGAACCATGTTCTAAGGCAATTCATTGGTAGATTTGTGGTTGTTTACTTTGATGATATCTTGGTTTATAGCAAGAATATCGAGGAGCATGTTGAACATCTCAAATTTGTCCTAGAAGTTTTAAGGAAGGAAAAACTATTCGCGAATCTCAAGAAATGCACATTTTGCACTAACAAGCTAGTTTTTCTAGGATTTGTTGTTAGT